AGCTTGGTTGGAGCCTCATGGCTGGCAAGCTAGTGCTCCTCCCCATCACGTCTCCATGGGTGTGACACGCTTCTCGAGTGTCCTCATGTCACAACGCCCATCAAATAAACACCCCGGGAGATCAAAGCAGCATCTGCAATGCTTTTATGCCCTTAGAAACCACATACCTTCACTTCCACCACATTCTGTTATGAAATAGACATATTCTATATGTCAACCCTAATTTAGTGTGGTAGGTAAGCTCAGAAAGGCATGAATTCTAGGAAGAGAAAATCAGGGATGATCTTGGAGGTTGGTTACCATATTCTATTTTCAAGTTCACACGCCCTTTTTCATGCAGTCTGCATACTTTTGAAGCAGATTGAGTGATCCACCCCGCCCCGCCCCAAGCAAGTTTCAGGTAGTTTGCTTGTTCAGTTGTTAAATTTCTAATTGTTTATTTTGAATCATTTTCATATCTCTGATAGGAATACCCATTCCTACAATACTTATGACTATATTTTCCTTTAATTATTTGAACATACTTATAATGTGCTGTGCTGAGTCACTTCAGTCATGTCTGACTCTGAGACCCCATGGACCATAGCCTGCCAGGCTCCTCTGTCCGTGGGATTCTCTAGGTAAGAACACTGGAGTGGGTTGCCATTTCCTCCTCCAGGGGATCTTCCCGACCCAGGGATTGAACCCATGTCTCTTACGTCTCTTGAACTGGCAGGCAGGTTCTTTACTGCTAGCTAAAGAACCTGGGATGTATACTTATAATAGCTGTTTTAAATAATTTATCTATGAATATCAACCTGTGAGCCATCTTGGGGTTGGTTTCTATTGACCGATTTTTCTTTTGACTATGGTCTACATTTTCCTACCACTTCTTGTATCTAGGCTATGTATATGTTTATGTGTGTATAATGGATTGCTAGTGATTCCTTTAAGAGATTCTGGATTCCATTATCTTTTCCCTGAAGAGACTTTTTTTTTTCTTTTAACCTACAGTTACATTTGATAGAACTCATACTTCAAACTATGTCTCTCCCGTGGTGAAGAACTAATGTTTTTTTTCTCCTTGTTCAGCCTTCTAGTTACTGCTTTGTCCTTTTTGCTGGGTTCTTTAGAATTTCCGACACATACTCATAGTTCAGAGATCAGCCTAGTATTTGAGCATAGTTTACATGTAGATCTTTGGATTCTTCCATGTAAGTCTCTTCTTTCTGGAACTTCCTCCTCAATTTTTAGTCTCACTTCCAGCCAGCCCTGAATTCTGTTTTCTGACACCATAAGCTGCTAAAAGTTGTACTGCCTTCAGCACCCTCAGAGGAAAAGCTGAATAAATGTTCAACTTACTCAGAAGAGTAGCTTTCTTTCATGGGTTTCATCACTTGCAGTTTTCTGATTTTGGTGGTTCATTCTGCACTTTAAATAACTGCTTTTATACTTAGTTCCCAGATAATAATTGTCATGTGCAGGAAGGTTAGCCACACCAGCTACTCTGCCATACCAGAATGGCACCATGTGCATTTATGTTTGAGTGACATAGGATAGCTCATTAGTAGCTTTGGGTTCCTGATCCTGTTCAGTGATGGGCTTCACTGTAAGGTGTGGACAGAAAGCAAGTTCTTTTGTTGGGGGTGGGGTGGTAATCCTAATTGTTAATATTCACAGATCCCCTCCGCTTGGGTTGTTTAGTTTTCTCATTGAGGAATCCTCCAATTTCAGTATAGCTGGCACTGTGATAGATACAAGACTAATTTTCAGCATCCTGGGAGCCTGTTGGACTTGGAAGTCTCACTGCTTTTTATGTAGAGTTTCACAAATCCCTCTGTTTTCAGTACATTCATAGTTATATCTTGTAATCTAAGACATACTTCATTTTTTGTTCAACATTTCTAAAGATTAAATCTCTCTTTTCAAAGGGAACTGTAGGAACTGTGGGTTTTGGGTGTGAATAGCAGAAGAAGAAATGTTGGGACTAAGGGCTTCTTATTAAAAAGACGCTGAACCAATATTTTATTCTCCATTCTACTTTTAGAAAGATCTAGTACTCTGATTCCTGAGCATTTCTGGAACTCTGTGGCAAGAATTATATTTCTTCATATTGGCTTCTCCTAATTGTAAATCTGGGTTTCAGGTATATCCAGTCTTCTGAGTGAGTGACTATTTGTTCCCAGATTTTAAGTTTTAGTTGATATTATTTCTCCTGTTCTTTTTGTGGATATATGGATTTATTCCTTTTCTGTCATTTTAGATGGTATTTAATAATAAGTGATTATAAACAGCATAGATTCTATTCCTATTCTACCAAACTGTCATCTCTAATTTTTAAATAAACATAAACTGCCTTTATGAAACCAAATACCCTCTCTTTAAACTTCAGCTGATTAACACTTTTACAAAAGTCAGTTGTGAAAAGCCTAGGTGTCAAATAACTAAACCAATGTTGAACGTAAATGTCAATTCTACTGTCACCTTTGTACCATGAAATACTGTTTCCCTAGCTATTGTTCCTTAAAGTAGCAGGGCGGAAAGGCTTACCATCTTTTTTAGTGTAATGTGCTTGCTTTCAACTTATGTTGTAAAAGAATTGCTCACAACAGACAAGTATGTGCATGAAGTGCTGCCACTCAGGCCTTGCCTCCGAGAAGTGTAAATAAAACAAGCGGCTTAGCGGCCACTTCATGCCCATCCTTTCACCGGTCAGAGCAAACCAAGGGAAACTTACTTAGTAAGAACCAGAATTTACTTTCAAGAGCTCCATTAGATTGCTTTGTTTGTGAACTTCCATTTTCTAACATGAAAATTACTGAATTCGTTCTCTGAAGTTACAAGTCATGTAAGCACTTTGTATTTTACTGAACATATATTTTGGGGCTCCAAAATCACTGCAGATGGTGATTGCAGCCATGAAATTAAAAGACGCTTACCCTTTGGAAGGAAAGTTATGACCAACCTAGAGAGCATATTAAAAAGCAGAGACATTACTTTGCCAACAAAGGTCCGTCTAGTCAAGGCTATGGTTTTTCCAGTGGTCATGTATGGATGTGAGAGTTGGACTGTGAAGAAAGCTGAGTGCTGAAGAATTGATGCTTTTGAACTGTGGTGTTGGAGAAGACTCTTGAGAGTCCCTTGGACTGCAAGGAGATCCAACCAGTCCATCCTAAAGGAGATCAGTCCTGGGTGTTCATTGGAAGGACTGATATTGAAGCTGAAGCTCCAATACTTTGGCCACCTGATGCAAAGAGTTGATTCATTTGAAAAGACCCTGATGCTGGGAGGGATTGGGGGAAGGAGGAGAAGGGGATGACAGAGGATGAGATGGCTGGATGACATGACCTACCTGATGAACAAGAGTTTGAGTAAACTCTGGGAGTTGTTGATGGACAGGGAGGCCTGGCGTGCTGCAAGTCATGGGGTCGCAAAGAGTCGGACATGACTGAGTGACTGAACTGAACTGAACTGAATTTGGTATTAATTGAATTTGTGTGAATCTACATGTACTTGCTGTTCTTTAGGTCATTTGTAAACTGATCATATGCTGATCTTAATAAAATTATCTGTGAAGAATAGTTTCTGAATTTACTTTTAATTTTCAATCAAATGATGAGTCACATTCCTGTCATTAATTAGTTAGATTTTGGGGTTTTTGCTTGTTTTATTTTTGGTAGTTCACCAATATAGCACAAAAGCTCTTAAGAGTGATAAATTAATCAGTAATAGAAGAAACTATTGAACCAAGTTTACTGGTATCATCAGGAATGGAGACACTGAAAAGAGTTTAGTACCTGTTGCGGGAAAGAAAAAGACTAATACGTGCGAAGTAAGATTAAATAAAGGGCTCAAAGTTATTTAGCCAGAAAGATGTGATGTAGTGTCTTTAGGTATACAAAGATTCATTACAGAATATAACGACTAGTTATTGTTCATCTCTGCTGAAATCTAAAAAGAAAAATGTTCAAGGGTAGAAATATTCAATGTAAATTTAACCAATACTTAGAAAGATAGCCTGAAGGCTGATGGACAAGCATTAGAAGGCTTGTGATGGGACAGCTCTCTTGGGAAGAGGAAAGGGCTTTAAATATAGCAGTGTTCTCTGTCATGAATGATGCCAAGTCCCGCGTTAAGGCAGAGGGCTGGACTAGCTGGCTTCCAGAGGCCCCTTCCAAATCTGGAATTCTCTGGTCACTTCTGTCGCGAGCCTTCAGAAGCTGGAGTCAGCCAGTCACAGCAGCCAAATGGCTTTTCAGGAACTCCAGCAGTGCCGAGGAGGCAGCGCGAGCAGCAGCTGTCCCCGCCGGAGACCGTCCAGAGGGAGTCAGGTCAGCGCGTCCCTTCCTCCGCCTTCCCGGCTCTGTGCGCGGCGGCTCCGGAGGCCCGGCGGCCTTGGGCCGGACACCCCAGCCACCGACACGCCCTCTGACGGGGGCAGGCGGGATGGCTGGTGGGCTGGCGCTGGTGGAGGGCCTCGCACCGGGCGCGCTCGGGTGGCACCACCCCACCGGGTCCCCGTGACGCTGCCCTCCGGGCGCGCGGTCGCGCCCCGGCCCCCGGCCCCCGGCTCCCGGCCCCGGCCCCGGCTCCCGCGGGAGGGCGCGGGCGGGGATGCTCCGGCCGGGGGGCTCGCCCAGTCTCCCGCATCCGTACCCGCCCCGCGGGCTCCGCGCAGACGAGGGAAAGAGGAGGGGTGGGGAGGCTGGGTGCTGGAGGAGGGAGCGCGGGGCGGCGCCGCTCCCGGCCACAGCCTCCGCCCCTCCCGCGGGCGGCTCGGCTCTCCTGCACCCTCTCCCGGTCTCTCGCGCCCCCGCACGCCTCCGAGCGCGGAGGGGAGCGCAGCCCACGCGGTGGGAGCGCAGCCCGCGCGGAGAGGCGCGCAGAGCGCGGGGGCTCCTCGCTCCGGCAAACGGCGGCGGCGCGAGCGGAGTCCCGCCGCGAAGATGCTCAAAGTCACGACGCCCTCGTGCTCCGCCTCGTCCTGCTCCTCGGTAACCGCCACCGTGGCCCCGGGGCCCGGGAGCCTGGTGCCGGATTACTGGGTCGACGGCTCCAACAGGGATGCTCTGGGCGATTTCTTCGAGGTGGAGTCGGAGCTGGGACGGTACGGCGGGGCGGCTCGAGGGGCTGGGGGCGGCGGGCTGGGGCGCTTGGACCTGGAGGAGCCGGGCATCCTGGGCGCCGGCTGGGGCTTCTGCCCGCGGCGCGCTTCGGGCGCTTGCCTTTTGCGGCTCCAGCTCCCCGGAATACCGGGGCCGGCCTCCCGGCCCTTGGGTTCTGCCGGCTCCGGGAGAGATCTCGGGACCGTTCACGAGCGAGCCGGCGTCCCCGGGCGCGCCCAGGCCGGTGCAGCTGCGGGCGGCAGCCCGGGTCCTCCCCTACCGCCGCCTCGCCGGCTGCCGCCTCCGTGGGTGACAGCTTCACCGCACGTGGGCCCTGCTTGCCCAAGCGGCGTCTCTGCTCACGATTATAGCTTGCCAGAGGGTTCTGTCTGTCTAGTTATTTTTTGGGGATGAGGGGCGGAGGACGCCTCTCCAAATCTTGACAGAAATATTAGATTCGATTCTTCCTCCTTCCCCTCATCAAGCTCACCGAAGCAAGTGGCACTGGAGATTAAACTTAAACACCAGCTTCCCTGCAGAGTCTGCTCAGGAGTGAAGGGGGATGAATCATTTAAGGGAGCTGAAGGCAGAATAATGAACTAGCGTGGCTTTAAAGGAAAGGCAGTGGTAATTAGTGAGAAGAGTTCTGCTGCTCTTTGACGTGCTGGAGTGATTTGTTTAATTATGTATGCAGAAAACCATCTCCCTGGGGTTGCAGAAATGTCCCTCATCCCTGCTTTGAAGATCCAAACAGGTAGTGGTCTTGCAATGTGAATAATACCCTATGTTCTTATATTTTTATCCACTGAAAAATACTTTCCCCTTCCTTTTTCCTCCTTTCTGTTATTCATAGGTAGGGAGACCTCTTTTCAATATTCACTTTAGAATCAGACCCTTTATTATATGGAATCTAAAGATGTAATTTCAACCGTTAACAAGTTGAAGCTTCTATACTTAATATTTCTCTGCAAATGTCCTTTTTCTTTCTTTCTTTTTATTTTGCTGGAATAGAGTTAGCAGTCATTTTCCTTTTAGTGTCACTGGTGACTGCAGGATGGGCTTCTGGATGTTGGTCCTGAGTGGGACTGTGTAAGGGCCGCTTCTCTCCGAACTGCCTCTGCTGTTAATGCTCACCAAGTGCAGAGCTGTGTAAGAAGGGCAAACTTCTGACTGAAATTTAGCAGTTGCCAGTCTCTGAAAAGGTTTCAGAATGTCTGAGCATTGGACAATGTGTAAAATCCTGTTTTGATCAAGCTTTTCAATGTTCATCTAAAGATCTGCTGTTGCATGCATTCCCTAGTAAGGCTGAAAATAAAACATCTCCTGTAAGGTTTGAAGCGTACATAATTGTATGATGAGCTGCAGTGGAACCCTGTAAACTTCAGATGAAAGTGATAACCGACTTAAAGTTGGTGAGTTTCAGGAGCTGCCACCCAGTAGAGGAAGCGCCTGATGGTGCAGAGACTCTCCCACCACCAGGCTGCCTGTCTTCTGAGTGACATTTACCTAGACGCCCCTCGTTCGCTCTGACTTCCCATCAGCACACATTAGCTGTGTGATTAAGGGTCGCAAACTTAACTCAGGAAACTTCCTTTTATGTAATGAATGGGAAAATACCAATTGCACACATATACAGAATGGTAGACTTCATAGGGAAAACCTAAGGAATTTGGAGTTTGTTATGTTTTTTAAAAAAGCTTGTTCTATTTTGCAGTAATTTTGGAGCATGAATATAAATCAGTTATATATGCTCAGACTATCACTCTGCTGTCAAGTCATTTGATTGCTATAAAAATCAGAGAATTAAAATATTTTGAGAAGAGGTTAAAAATGGTTCCTTCTATCCTCTTTCTCTATTCAAGTATATTAGGCAAGTTCTCTGTAGATGGCAGTATTGGTGAGGTGCATACGTACTCCATTTGGTTGAGACTGAGAAATACTGTCACTTCATGATCAGAATGTTTTGTTTCTTTGCATGCTTGCTTGTCTTTTTTGGCTCAGCATGAGTGCTTTTGGTTCCCTGACTGGGGATTGAACCAGCAGTGGAAAAGCAGACTCCTAACCACTGGGCCACCAGGGAATTCCCAAAACTTACATTTTTCCCAACAAAATAAACCTAAAACAAACAAACAAAAAACTATGTTACAAACATAATTGCTAAGAATCACTAAAGCCAGAGAATTCAACAGAATTATAATCGTAGGTATTGACTGAGTGATGAAAGTGTGCCTCCTTACCCCACCAGAATAAAGTTGAGGCTCAGTCAGTTGGTTTCCAGCCTTTCCTCTCTTTCCTCTTGGCCTTGGGCCAAGTCTGCCTGCCAGTGGTGACGCTAAAGCCCAAACATTTAGTTCTTTAACATGGCTGTCATTAAGAGTAAGACAACAATGTCCCTGGTGCTGTGTGGAGCCGTGGTTAGTTACAGGGTGTACACAGCTCCCTCCAGGCTAGTGTGGGTTTAGTAAGAGAGTAAGCCTTTGCAGTTACTGTTGTAAGCTAGTGACTCCTGAATTCAAGACGACTGGACATATGACCATCAGGGCATCATACTTGGAGGCTGTATTTGGGGATTTCGGGGAACAAAATTCCCGTGGCTGTAACCACCTGGATTCCCTGTGTGGTGCTCACAGCACCGACCCGCATGTAAGCAGTCAGACCAGGGGAGATGTGAGAGCTTTCCTTTTTCAGATCGTGAGTAAGTCAGGAACTGAAAGGTGTTGAGAGGAATTATTTAAGAGTTTCGGGTAAGCGAATTTGTTTTTCTAAAAACCACACTTGAAAATACTGCTGTGTTTATAAAATTTGTTTAAAAGTTCATGAAAACCAAGTTCACAACAAATGCAGTTCTACTTAAGAAGATGAATTGGCCTTGGTCCCATTCAGGGCTCCGTATCCTAGAGAGTGCTTGGTCCTTTGCCCAGTGATTAGAGAAAGTGGTGTTTTAAAGGTTTTTCCAAGGGAGAAGCGAGCTTCTCTGTGGCCGAGATCCCGTCTGGTGGTTTGGCAGACAGAGGGGCAGAACTCGGCCTGGGCTGCTCTGAGGTTCGGGCTTCAGTTATTTCTCACCTTTTGTTTCTGTCTTTGGTATGAGATTGAAAGGATATTTGTCACAGAATCAGATGTGTGTCCCCCCACCATCCCGCAGCACACACACGCAATTTCAGAGAAGCAAATGAAAGATAATTAGGACAGAAGAATAAGAGTGTGAAAATCACATAATTAAAGTATTTTGGTGAAAGTTTAAAAAACCTACTTCTGCTTTCTGAGTAGAAATTGATTTATTTGGAATCAAAACTTTTAAAACATTTTCATGCCAGTTCGCTATAGTTTTTTCAGGCTAATAACTTTCAGTAGCTGCACCCCCCCCCCCCCCCCCCCCCCTGACTTGGTTCACGATTTTTAAAAAACTTATATAGCAACCCCATATAACTATAATTATATAGAGTCCCTTGCTGTGTGTATCCTTGCTTAGGAACCAAACAGATTTAGATAGTGAGTCATATGTGTGTGTAAAATGGGGGGAAGTTTGATAACATAATGTTTATTCTTATTAGCAACAATGTGCTTTGATATTTCCTATTCTATGCTGTTTGATTTTATCCTAGCTTCTTAAAAATATTGACTGAACCCATGTGATTTCGCATCCCACCAGTAGGTTGTGACTCAGTTTTAAAAGGACTGTTTTAGGCCTAACTCTGTGTGTGCTGGATTAAAACAGGAGACAGTCCTTTTGAGAGGTGCCTTGCAGACCAGTTGGCGACCCTGAGTCCTGTCTGATGGCATGGCTCTGTAGAGAAAAATTCCCCTGTGCTTATTTCCAGCATGATTGGGTCTTCCTTTTCAAACACTTTGGAAAAACGCTGATGTCTCTATAAGACGAGGGCGGAGTATCTCCTGGACTGACTGAGCGTTTCCGAGGCTGGACCGGGAGCATCTTGACTGTGAAGCAGAGGAATGCAGAGGCCTGAGCAGCGCTGTGTTCCACTCAGCAACACAGAACTTTGTTCTCAGGCAGTGGTCAGCAAGCGCTTCCTGTAAGGGCAGGGCGGAGGGTGCGTCTTCTAAGAGAACGGCTCCAGCCTGTGCTGCGGGCTGGGAAGGACTCAGCCCCTCTTTTCCCTGCCCCTCCGCTCTCTGTCCACGCCCTTCCGGCCACTCTCGCCGGGGCTGCGGAGTTCTCCATCTTCCCGACGCTCGCCTGTAGGCCCCGCGGTGCCCGCGGGCCTGCGGCCACACTCGCTGCGCCGGGTTTCCTGAGCTCATGGGGATGCTGTGGTTTTTACTTTTTAATCTCACTAGGAGTTTGAAGTGCACCTGTCCAGCCGCTCTCTTGTTCGTGGTGCACCCGGTTCTCTTCTCAGGCAGTTGACTCAGGAGCGAGGTGGGGTTGCGGCGGGAGAGTAGAAACGGGCTGCACACGCTCTTTGCACGAACGCTGACCACCGGTTCCTGGAGGGCAGGGTCTGTAGATCTGGCTGGCTGACCGCTGTGTATTCGTCGCCTACCGTAGTGCTCAGTACCCAGCAGGTGCTCAATAAACGATTTTGAAGAGAATGGATGAATGGTAGCAAAATGGGCTGGCACCGTGGGTCCTGATATGATCATCTCAGTTCTGGGGACCCCAAGGAAAGGATAATCTGGTGACCTGCTTATCTTCTCCCTGAAACATGTGCGACCGTGACCCTCATCTCACTCAGCATTTGGCCTTCTGTCTTGGTGGTGTGAGTGTTGGTAACTGCCACCTCTGTGACTCTTCCTGTTCAGAATCACGCTGCTTTGCTGTTGGCAGGGTGCTTTGTGACTGAACTGAGGAGGATTCAGTCTCACCGCTACCATCATTTTACCACAGGCATGTCAGAGTTAGAGTCAAACCAGCTTGAAGTCAAAAGCACGAAATATCTCCAAGCTATGCCCGCTGCTAAAGTTAATACATAGTAAATGCTAAATTTAGAAATACTGTCGTCAAGAACCTTTAAGTCAAGTGAAAATTACGGTAGCGTCA